CTGCTGCAAGAACCCTTTGAAGTTCGCATACATAGGTTGGGGGCTGAAATTGCTCTGTGAAGATAAGCCAGGGCTTAAAAAAACGTATTCCATTCATAGCAGAGTGATGCCTTCAATGAGACTGTGAGGGGAATCTAAATGGGCCACTTTTTTTAAAGCTGCTGGCTTAAATATTCAGGCAGATCAGAAATCGTTTTTAAATGGATCGTGTAACAGGGAGCTAATTCCAAACTGCATCTATTACCCGGGGGCGCACACAAACTCTTCCAGGTTGGGGCCAGTTTAGGCTGCAATAAGATCTGCTAGGACTGACCCTGGGAGGAGCCTCTGAACAACAGGGGTGTTCTTTGTGTGGCCTGTAGTGCACAGTGAATGTTTAAGGCAGGGGTGGGGAACCTAAGGCCGGGGGGCCGGATGCGGCTCCCGGCTTGCCTGGATCCCGCCCCCAAGGCGCAGGGCTCCTCCATCAGCATTGGGGAGCCCATGCTGGTGCTCCAGGCCCTCCCCCCTGCCGCTGCCCCATTGTGGGGCTGGAGCACACAAAATCTACTAGCCTGCCCCCCCCAGGCTCTGGTGTGAAGGGGAATGGGGGGAGGGTCTTTCTGCTTCTCAGTTGGGGGCCACGTCCGTGAGGGGTTTTTTCTTCTCACTTGTGTGCGGCCCCCGACTGTTTTCTCTGTGGGTCAGCAGCCCCCGACCCAAGAAAGGTCCCCCCCAGTTTAAGGGCTTGAGCCGACATCCATGGCTGCCAATGGGCTTTGGTCAGGCCCTAAATAAACCAACACTCCAGAGAGTTTAAAAGTCTCTGTGATGGAGGGAGAACACGGCACAGCTCCGGGCCCACCCCAGCAGTGGCCAAGAGCTGCCGACTCCGGGGAGACGGGCACGAGGAATTCCTTTCTGATGGGGCAGGTGAGCGTGAGACAAACCCCATCACTGCCATGGGCATGAATTTTTCCCTCTGCTGGGCTCTCTCGGCAGGGTCAAAGCTGGAACGAGCGCTGGCACTTCTCTCTCCTTCCGACGAGCCGGCCAAACGAGGCTTTTCCCCTCCCAATCTTGCCTCCAAGGAGGGGGCAATGCACTCGGGCAGGGCAGGCTCAGACCGCGTTGCTGCTCCCTCCCTGTGAGGGGCCCCTTCTCTGGACCCCCCCGGGACTCGTCTCGCAGTCACATGACATGTCAGACTTTCCTGTTCTTCGGCGCTTTCAAGCGGCCTCTCTCCGAACACCTGGCTCAGGTGGCTCAGTCACCCGTGTTGCACAGATGGGAGACACGAGGCCCGGGGCAGGTCAGTAGTTTTCCCAAGGCCACGGGGCAGACGGGAGCAGAATCCAGGCTAGAACCCAAATCTCCTCGACAGCCAGGCCGTACCTCCCTCCCCCCAGTGGCTGGCAAACGCTGAAAAGCAGCTGCACGCACGTGGCTCGTTGCACTGTCTGCAATCTTTTGATTTTTCAGAGCTGAAATGCGAATGGAAGCGTCTGTCTAACAGCGGACGGTGGCGGCTGAATTCAAATTCAAGGCGACCTTGGAGAGCAGACAAAGGGTTGGGAAGAAACTGGGGGTGTTAAACATTGGTTACTTGAATGATCGATTGACCCCACGAATTCTTACTGGAGTCAACTATTCCATAGCTCTTGGGGCGGGGCCGGCAGCCAGTGCGCTCTGCCCCTATTTCCAGAGAGCCCCCTGCTGCTCCACGCTGCTGCCTCCGTCTCAGAGGCAGGAGGATTTCCTGCCCTGCTCTCTCTGCATCAGGGGGGTTCCATGCCTGGCCCTTCCCAGACACCTGTGTGCGTCCCCCACCATCCCGCAGCCATCAGCGGTCACACGTGGTCACTCTCAGAGTACTGGGCCCAGGAGCCCCCTTCTGCACCTGCTCCTCACAGCTCGGGGTGGATTCTCCTGCATTTCTCCATGGGCTTTACTGAGAGCTCTGCTGCAGCCTGGCTGGCAAGGCTTTCAAAGAGCTCACAACACACACAGAATAAAACTGAATCCAGCCAGGCAATAAGATTTATGTCTCACTTTTACGCAGACCTCAGCAGACTTTAAATAGCAAACCAATGGCACTAAATGTAAGTAGCTCAAACTGCTAAGAAGCTGTAGATAGGAGGAAAAGGAATGTGGTATCTGATCCAATTAACTCAAGATATGAAGATTAGTCTCCTGTACTTTGGGTTCTTGAAAATGACCTCCACACCTTATACCCATTTTCCTCTGAGCCCTAATTTCAACTGTAGACTCAAGGAGGCAGTGAAGGGTACAGAGGTGGGCTGGCAAGTCATTTTTCTCCCTAAACCATTTGTACTCAGAATTCCTCAGAATATTTAAGACCTTTGTTTTAAGACAAACAAAAGGAATTATAATTTTACACAGGAGAATATAGCAATAGTTAAAGGGCAAGTCTCTTTTTGTTGAAACTTAGCAGGGTGGAAAGATACAGAGACTGACATCTGTTATATCAGGGGTGGGCAAGAGACTGCCAGCAGGTTAGATCAGGCCTGCCAAACCACCGGGCCCGGCCTGCGGCCATCTTGCTAGAACCCTTAAGTAGAGAGCAGCTCATATTTTTTAAAGAGCCAGCTGGGGAGAGAGAAGGGAGTCTTTGCACGCTGCCCCCGCCTGCTCTCCCAGCAAAATTTCTCAGCTCCCATTGGCCAATTTCTGGCCAATAGGAGCTGTCTATTTTAAACACAAAGCACCCCTCCCCTCAGACTCTTATTCACCAATGCACATGGCCCCTGCAGACTGGGGGGCAGGCAAGCTGGCTGGCCGGGAAACCTGATGGGCTGCTGGCTGGGAGTCACCCAGGTAAATCTCCAGGCCAGAGCCTGCCTCTGGCACCCCAGTTCCTCCATCTCCCACCCCCTGCCCTGCTATTCCACATAAGCCAAATCCTCTGTCTCCTCCTGAACCCATCCCCCCTCCCAGACCCTGCACCCCAATTCCCTGCCCTGTGTCACAACCCAAACCCCTGCACTGTAGTCCCCTGCCCTAGGTCACTACCCAAGCTCCTACATCTCCTGTACCACAGTCACCAGCCTTAGGTCACAACCTAAACCCCTGCACCTCAATCCCATGCCCCAGATCACAACTGCCTCCTTTACCCAAACTCCCTCCCAGACCTCACAAGCCCTCCTGCACCCCAATCCCTTACCCTAAGCTCCCTTCTGCACCCAACCTCCATCCCAGACACTGCATCTCCTCCATTAATATCATGGGATATTGTGGCCCTCAACTACTTTCCAAAATCGCCCACCCCGAGTTAGCAGCTTAGGTGTGATCCAGCCCAGCGTAAGGCAGCCGGGTTCCCAGACGGGCCTGCTTCAGTCAGTCCCTCGGGCCTGGCTAGGAACGAGGCAAGAAGAAGGATTCCGAGCAGCCTGCCCTGTAACCTTCCTGCATCCCCATCTCTCCCTGCCCGCCTCTTCTCAGCCAGGGGAATGGCTCTCCAGCACTGGAACCATCCCAGCCGGCTTCCTGGGGCCCACGTCACCCCCTTCCTTACCCCGTAGCTGCACACACGCCCTTACAGACAAAGGCCTCAATACAAAATCCGCTCTTGCTCCCGCAACAGGCCGGGGCGGTTCACACCGCCTATTAGCTCATGCCTGTTACACGGGAACATGCCACTGAACACGCATGTGTTTGCCTGCTCATAGTGCAAACAAACCTGCCGAGGGTGCTAACTGCAGCAGAGCTGTCTCCCCTCCCTTCACCGCAGCAGGGATCCTTCTCCTCCTGGCCCCACGCCCCGCAAGAGGCAGAAAACGTCTGGGTTTTGTGCAGCATCTTCCACACAAACAGCCTCCCAGGGAACCGGAGCTCAACCCAACCCGGGACGAGCAGGGGGCTGGGAGAGGAGGTCGGAGGGGCAGGAAAAGGGCCAGACTGCAGGAAGAGGATGTTTCCAGGCCAGAGTCCAACGCAGAGGAAGGGATCTGGACAGGAGCGGTAGAAGAGAAGCCAGAACCCAGGAGAGAAGGACAGGACAGGTCTGCTCCCTAAAGAGAAGAAGAAAGGAGGAAATGCTAAGGGAGCAGGAGAGTTAGCTCCCTAGTGTGTGGATTGGAGCTGGAACCCGAACAGCCTGAGGAAACGATAGAGCTAGCTGGGCGCATGGGGTAACGTGGGTGTTTTCATCCAAACACTCGACAAAAGGTGGCAATGACAACCCCCATTTTACAGATGGGCAAACTGAGGCACAGAGGGGCCATAACTTGCCCATGGCCACCCAGAAGACCAGTGGCACAGTGAGGCAACAGGTGACACACTCCTTTTGGGTGTGCGTCTCTGCCTGAGCAAGGGGTCTAGAGCAACGGCCAGATTCTCCTCAGGCTGCTCCAGTTCAACACTCTGCTGTTCTGAGGCAGGAGCCATTCACACCCACCCTGCTGCGATTGTACGGGAGCAGGGCAGTGGTGTCTGGGGCCCATGGTGGCCCCAGCTGAGGCTGCAGACGCAGGGAGCAGCGAGGGGGCGTGCGCCGTGCCCCTTCCTGCAGTCCTATGCCCCCCCTTCATGCTGCGTCCACCTCGGCCCACACAGCCAAGACGAGCCCACGCGTTCCAAAGTCCCCTTCAGAGCGAAAGCTGCTCGCTCCCCCTCCCAGCCCAGGCCGCGGCTCCCAAGAGCCTTACACAAGAGTCCTGCCCAGTTCATCGCGCTTCTCAATGGCGCCTTGCGGGAGGGGATGGGAGGCGAACACTTCTCTGCGCTCCCTGTACGGGTCAGAGCAGATCCCGGCCCGTGCTAATGCCAGAGGGACTGGGACTCCATTTCGGCTCCCGTCGCTGTCAGAAGGAAACAAAGAGGCTTTTCCTCGTTACAGGCCTCTCCCATTAGCTCCCCAAAGCACTTCCTTTCAGGCTGGGGGAGGGGGCTCCCTGACGAGCCCTGGCATTTCTGCCCGCCCCCGCCAGGGCCTGAGGCCCCTGCTCTCTGCAAGCCAGCTCTGGGGCTCTCCAGAGCGTTGCCCCTGGCCCAGCCCCCGGGGATCCGAGCCTCTGGCACATTGCAGGAACAGGCCAAGAAATCCATACGGCTGCTGGCGGGTTAAGAGGGTCGGCCAGTGGAGGCCAGGCTGCCTTCGGCTAGATCCTCAGGGGTGCCGGGGGGCCTAAGGCCCATTAAGGTCAGCGGGAGGGGAGGACCTTCAGCACATCACAAGACAAAGCTATTAAGGTCTGGCTGAAAGGCCGTTCAAGCGAGCGGGAATCTTACGCCCTGCGTCTCCCTGCCACGCACACCCAAACGCCGATCCTGTCCAGGCCAAAGCTGGAGCAGCCCTGAGCCCCTCGGTCTCCGGCTGAACTCTAAGGAGTGGGAGAGGTTTCACATGGCTCACGGCGAACAGCCGCTCTCCCCACCCAGGCCGGCTGCTGCTGGCAGGCTGTAGCGTGGGTGCCCACAAACAGGCAGGGACGTGACCCGTACGTGGTTACATAAGCTCCTCGTTCATTCCGAGAAAGGGAGGGAGGAGGGAAAACGCCGCGGTACATTTTCATTGCACCTTTCGTCGTAATGGGTCCCAGAGCGCGTTGCCGGCTCTATCGGCACTGGATTCAGGCTGCCGACTGTCAAGCAGCAGCCGTCTCTGGGGGACAGTAGCATGAACAGAGGCTGTCCAAACAAACGACTTCTATCCCCCAAAGGAAACCGCGCTTCCAAATTGAGCACACAAGCAGCTGCCGGCAGCAGGAAAGAAGAAGGACTATTAATGTCACACAATCCCCAGGATGGGCCAGCTCTCCCAAACTGTAGTGGAGAAGCCAGGCCTGACGTTGTACACCACTCTACCCATCTCAAGGCAGAACTACATGGTGGTATCAACGGGGAGTTACGCTTCCTATAGCCCGACACTGTAAAACCTCTGCCAACGCCGCACACGGGGAGCGCACCGACGACCTACCCGACGCGAACTCCTGCCTGGCCAGGCCAGGCCCTCGGTGGGTGTAAATCCGCACAGCGCCACTGGCTTACTGCAGCTGTGCCGAGTCACACGAGACCAGGACCTGACCCTTTGGATATAAAAAAGACCCACTGCTTGTCTCTGCCCACTCACAATCTTTACAAATTCTTCCCGTTTCAGTCCCTCACGTCTCAGCACCCGTGCGGTTGATTGGATAGCTCCCCGCGAGGTGGGTCAGTTTCCCTTTCTGGTTCTAGCCAGTCGCCCTTTTAATGGAACGCCCTCCCTTTGCAGCCAGGTTTCTAAGGCAACAGGCAAATATTTCAATTGTAAAATAAATAACAGGGTTCCGAAGGAAGTTAAAACAATGGATCCTGTTTGGTTCTGTTCCTATTTACAAACTCACCTCCCCCCCCCCCGCATCCCTCCTCTCGTTTCTGTACAAGTCCGACGTTTTGACCCTCCGGAGAGCGCGGTCTGCAGTTAGTCTGCCAGGGAAGCAGAGGTTTTATCTTCCCTTTTGGGGACACCAAGAGCCAAGTCCACCGGTGCCGGTGCCTGCACTCCAGCAAAGAGCTCTGTCCCCCCTCCGGAGCCTCCAGAATGCCACGATGCCCCCACGCTCCAGCCTGCTCTTGCCTCCAACAAGTCAGGGGCACCACTCGTATGGCGGCAGCAGGCAGAGGTCTGACTCAGACAGCAGACCTGGCCCGCTGGGCTTTGGGCTTGCAGGGACGAGGTGGGTTCCACCATCAAATCCAGAACACAACAGGTCTCCATCCTTTGACTCCTGTGACGTGTCCCCGAGGTTCCCAGCCCCTGCCACGTGGCTCAGACTGGTTAGCTCCTCACCATGCCGCGGTACAGAGCTTTCAGTGGGCCTCGGAGCTACTGCCTGCTTCCTAGCCGCTGCCATGTTCTCGCTCACCTTGCAGCGCCCCCCGCCACAGTCTAGGGCAGGGCTACTCAGCTTTGGAAGCCCCGGGCCTCACTGATACAGCACATGCCAAAGGCTGCAACTTACGTGTGGTTGCATAGACATGCAAATATACGCAACTAGCTTCTTTCACACTGACAGGCACGAATACAAAGATTAAGGCAAGACGACACCACACGCACGCCCCATTTAAGTCAGTTCTGCTGATATTAATCAAATGCAATATTGACCCAATTTCCACCCATATGACAGCACTTAATGAGCATGACAGTCCAGGAATTTAACTACTCAAACACATAGCAACCAAAGGCCGCTATATTGACTACTTTTCTGTTTGGCTCCCACCCGCGGGCCATGTGTTGAGCCCCACGTAAACCCAAACCGCACCGCAGACCGCAAACAAACGGGCGTGTTGAGTAGCCCTGATCTAGGGTTTTAATGGTAATCGCAGCCAACACACCAGGGCAGCTTAGACACAGCTCAGAGAAAGGGGCTGATAGAACAGGAGACAGGCCTATCGAGGAGGTACAAATGAGATAAAACCCCAGGAATCCTACCAGAGAGGAGCCACTCTCTGATCATCAATTCTCCTGCTTGGAGTGTTATTGGAACCTGGCTCTTCTATGGCATCTTTCATCCGCTGATCTCAAAGCATCTTACAATCAATTAATGTTGCTCCCATTTTATAGAAGGGGAAATTAAAGCACAGAGAAGTGAAGTGACGTGCCCAGGGTTATTCAGCTAACCAGAAGCAGAGCCAGGAACAGACCTCAGTACCAGACCAGCACCCTATCCATTGGACAACACCGCCTCGTCTAGGATTAACAAAAAGAGAAACCTCAGATACGTATTATGAACGATATTTTCCATCTTTATTTAATGCATGTGGAAAAGAAGAAAACACGGTTCTTAATATTCGTACCATTTTGCAGGTGACACATTTTGATTCACATAATTACTGCAGCAGCATTTGATCCACCTGAGGTAATTCACAAGAGGGGTTTCTGAACGTTTCACCCAAGGGGCATGATTTTCCCCTCACCTATCTGAAACGATTGCAATGCAGTTCAGCCACTCAAAGTGCATGGGGTGCTGGTAGGGCCAGAGAGGGTCTAGGCTGCAAGAGAGGTGGCGTGTGGAAGGCTTCTGGGGAGAAGTGCACGTTGAGAAGGGATCTGAAGGGCAGAGGGGGATCTGTCAAAAGGGCAGCTGCTAAGCCTCACCCCCCATCTGCTTCTGTCCAATCAGTTTTCTAGGTTCCAGAAGTGGTCCTAGAGCAGCCAGATGCCCCGTCCGTTCTCCATGGCAAGTTCTAGGCCAGGCGGCCCAGGCTCTGGATTCCATGGCTAGCTCAGCCAGGGCCTCCGGTCTTCAGGTTCCAGCGTGAATTCTGGACCAGTGAGGGCTCCACGTCTCTGGATCCCACCATCAGCTGCATGATTCACACGTGCCTCCCGCAGAGTTATTCAAGGTGCTGATTTAAGGAGAAGCTACTTCCTGGCTGGTCCGGAGGGCGCCCTGCCAGCCACGTGGGCTGGGCCTGCAGACAGTGCCCCTAAAGGCTGGAGATGCAGAGAGGTGCCTCTGGAATCACCGCGTCACCGATGCCTTCCAGGAGGTTACTCCAGCGATCAAAGTCTTCCTCCAGCTCTGCGTGGGGAAGAGAGGACAGAGGGGTCTCCAGGCTTCCTGTGCAGCTGGCAGGCTCAGCCCCCCGGAGCTCTGAGCTGACAACGGCTGGAGCCGCTGCCTGCGTACCCCCCCAGCCCACACGGCTAAGCTGAAGACAGGCCTGGGCTTTGTCTGGTCAGAGGGAGCTGAGGGACTTGTACAAAGAACCCACGGTCCTAACACAGGGTGGGGCGGGGCTTGATGTTTAAGGAAGCCCTGCCCCCTCCCTGCATCCATGTGCCCCCGGAGCTCTGAGCTGACAACGGCTGGAGCCGCTGCCTGCGTACCCCCCCAGCCCACACGGCTAAGCTGAAGACAGGCCTGGGCTTTGTCTGGTCAGAGGGAGCTGAGGGACTTGTACAAAGAACCCACGGTCCTAACACAGGGTGGGGCGGGGCTTGATGTTTAAGGAAGCCCTGCCCCCTCCCTGCATCCATGTGCCATGCCCCCGCCGCAGGAGTCTTGGCTGCTCAGAGGGAGTCTCTCCGTGGGCGATGCGGGTGGCATAGCCTAGGCAGCGGGCTTGGCAGGCACACCCGT